AACGATTCTCATATCGCAGCACGCAAGGTACGCGTCCCTAAGACGCTAAGTACTACGTTGCCCCCAACCAGGGTTTGGCGTCCCCGCTTGGCACGAAGGACCCTCTGGTATTTATCCTCTCTCGGTCTTTTCTTCCGCCGCTGTTCTTTTGTACGGGCTTTGTGGGCCCAGCAATAGTCCGAAGTTCAGCTTGAGACCTCCGAAGGTCGCCTGAAGCTTCGTATATGAGTGAGGTACTTTTTAAATCCACTGCTTTCTGAAAATACAACCAAATCCGTCACCCAAAAGTAAAAATTAACGGCTACATGAAAGTAGACAGACGAAAGCTCATCTCGGATTTCAAGGGTCATCAGGAATATATAGCCTAAATTAGGTAGTTACCTACCTAATGAGCTTTGGATGGCGATCAACCTAGCACTACAGTTCTTGTGATTTTTGCGAAGTGAATACGAAATCAAGAATGCGAGGTGGTACACAGTTTTAGTATAAGATGCGACAAAGTCCTATGCTCCTTTCCGTCCCGGCTGCATACAGCCACATAATAGGCAGCAAGTAGAGAAGAATTCTTCAGCACTTCAAGGGGATGAATTTACAGGGGCATCTTGCAATGTTACGAGAAGAAAAGAGGTAGGTAATCGATTGCGTTTTGCGCATAACGGTTGACATGTGATGTGACAAACCGATGTTACAGAAGTCGAACGAGACTAGGAATTGGGGGGCCTCTCGCTTAGATCGATATGCTAGCGGGCTTCAAAGTGTTTAAGGCAACTTCAAAGTAGGTATTTAAGCCATTAGCCGAACTGATGTTCTTAGAGACTAATGCAGCACGATCACATACCCCTGTTTAGATATACTATGAGACATATATCGTGTAGCCTACGTAGAGTATAAAGAATAGCCTGTGAGCTTTTACGCATTGTCTTCTACGGAGACAACATCATAGAGCAACTCTAAACAGAAAGATACTATAGGTGTGTTCCACTGAATCGAGTATTTTTACTTACTAAATTTAGATAATAGAGATAATCGAGTCATAGACTATAGGAACTCTGTGGCAAACCTGCGAGAGCTTCGGCCGATACTTAGTATTTGCCAAGACTGATGAACTACCCAGTTTTGGAGATCAAATCCTGGACTGTTCTAGATTTGAGACTGGGGAATCCATGTAATGGCATGTTTCCAAGATAGAGCAGGGAAAAATTGTGTGCTTTGATCTTCCTTCCCGTTATTAACCTACTGCCAAGTGGTTCGAGAAGTTAGTATATTCTGTTGATTTCATCAGACACCAGCTGTATGAGTTGTCGAGACCTCAGTACCCATGATATTGTTACAACGAAACTTTTGCCCTGCCCGGTTACTCAGATCTTTGGGATTTTAAAGTTCCAGGGTAAGGGGCATATATGAACCCTTACTCGCAACTTCGACGACGATCTCTACTCCTTGAGTCAACTCGCCCCGCGATTCGATCTTGATCTTATCTGAATAGGTTTGCACGGATGCTCTGATGATCCAGTCACCATGTCGGACAACGCTCAGACTTCATCAGCGCCAGCTGACCCTAATCCCACGAGTTGGCTTCAAAACCTAGGTATCGCCATAGAGGTGGTATGTCCTGCGCTGGCGTTGTTGGTCGTCGTCTTAAGGACTTATATCAGGCTCGACACAAAGATGTTTGGTTGGGGTAAGTTAACAAAGCAAATCTCCAAAGGTTGGGCGGCATACTGAGAAAAATTACCATGTAGATGATGGCCTCATCGTTGCCGCAATGGTGCTGAGCATCGCTATGGCAGTAGGGTCAATCAAAGGTATACAAGCACGTACTTTATCAACCGATCTCGAGATCTAACGACTTTATAGTTATGAAAGCGTTGTTCATAGGAATTCACTATTATGACGTTCCTCAACCTTTCGATCCCACCGAAGGACTCATATGGATCTATGTTGGTTAAATATTCTCCATCTGTTTATGGACCGTCGGTTAATTATATAATCGCTTCAGATTGTCGGCGCCGTATACCAACCAATCTTAACACTGGTAAAGCAGTCGGTTCTCGTCTTCCTACTCCGCTTCTCGGGTGTTAAAGCCGGTGTTCGATACGTTGTATGGGGCACTATTATATTTAACACGGCTCTAATGGTCGCCATCTTCCTCACTGTCATCCTTCAATGCATCCCGATTGAGATGAATTGGAATTTGACAGTCCCAGGCCACTGCATTGAGCAATTCAAATTTGGTGTGGTGGCTGCCTGCATGACTATTATGACAGATATTGTCTCTGTGGCACTTCCATTCTATATTTTCCTTGGCTTGCAGATAAATAAGAACAGAAAGATTGCCCTAATCGGTGTCTTCATGTTAGGTATACTGTAAGTTACCCCTATTCCAATGAACAAAATGCTGGAACTACACATACAAGGCGGAAGACTAACACAGATCTTACTACAGTGTCACCGTCGTCAGCATAATCAGACTTTGGACACTCTCCGAGAACTTCAATGATCAGAGCCCGGACAAGAATTTCAGTGTGGGGTTCACGGTGTCTAGTATAGAGTGCAACCTAGCAATCATCACGGCGTCTTTCCCGAGTCTTTGGCCCCTTATCAGAAGGGCGTTACCGAAAAACCTCAAGTCTTCATATTACGGTCACCAAAAGTATGGTGGCGTGTCACATGGGCAACAGGGCTACATCAGGACTACCGATGGACCAGAGAGTGGTATTGGGTTGAAGGACATGAACGGCCGCCGAATTCGGACCGAAGTTCGATCACAGAGAGACTCCGACGAAGAGATCCTCACCGGGACCGGTATCATGCGTACCACACAATTTACTGTTTCAACTGAGAATGATCACGCGCGCACAGGACGGGAAAGTAACTTTGACGATCGCACGACACGATCTAAGGTCTCAAGCAATGGCTCATTGTGAACTACAGGCTATTATGTATAATAGTGGATGGCGTTAGGGGACTATGTACACTATTTATCCATCATCCATCATCGCAATTCATGGCTCGACTAATAATACTCCAGCTACTAACGAATAAAAGAATCTTTAGGTATGTTTAAACACTCCGAACTCGATTTAAGAATGGGAATTTTCTTGCAGAAGGGGGAAGCAAAATTCCACATGTAAAATACAGCTTCACAGATTACCTATATGATCACGATAGCTGATTCATTTTCCAACGTAGTGGCTCCATAATACTTAGCCCGTCCCAAGCGTACGGCCTTAAATTTCGGAACGCGGCAGCGGCTGATTCTCAACCTTATCATAGGGCCGTTAGTTCTCTCAATAGTTTGAGACGACGGTGTTGGCGGCCGCACGGTTCGCCTTTCAAAAGACCCTCGGCCTGTTAGGAACTGCTTTTCAATAAAGCCAATGTGCCAAGAAGTGTTGTCTCTAATCCGTCTATAGTAACACTGTTATACTTGGAGCATTCGTTTCCCGTTGCCATTTCTTCGGACCTTCCTATGTCACCTACCCTATTAGTTTCGAACGGGGCCAATCTAGTAAAAATTGATCGACAAATATATCCGAAAGGGTACCCTTAATCGAGCCTTGAAGGGTCGGGATCACCCGCATATAGCCACAATAAATATGACACACAACTCCGACAATGATCTTAATAGAGAAGACGAACAATTATTTAAGCGCGGATTTTCGCTGCCATCCTCTATTCTCAGGTACGATCCTTTCAAACTAAAGCCACGATCCTACCCTGCCACGCATAAAATGGATTGCCCCGGAGCTTGGCCCGCATACATGGTCATCCACGAATGCTACGTAACGGTCCCTTAAGCTAGACCCTTCTAGTCTGGTACTTAAGCGTTCGGGCACATTTGAAGAGTAACCCCGATAGCAATGGGCCGCCGAGTATGGTATCATCACAGAATAATTCTTGAATTTCCACAAACAATATTTGTATCCACAGTTGATCCTAGACATGGTGTGTATAAGGCTCGGAGAGTCCCGGCGTAACGAACCTAAAAATTTCCTGTTTCGTAGGTAAATTCGCCCGAAATCGCAGTCACTAGGCATGCCTAGGACATGATCGGTCTTTTTTAGACGAGCACGCTAGAAGAAAAAAAGAGCCATCTATGTCTGACCTACCTGATTTATCAAACATGTAAGTCAGGTCGAATTATTTATCGTTGCATTACCCCTGAGGGTCACATGCATGTGGTGCGCATTCTAGTACGGTACGCCCTCACAGTTAACACAAAACAATATATCACCGTGGGTCGGTTTTGAATACTGCGACTCAAGAATCTCCCAAAATAAAGCCCCCGAGGTTACTGTCCTATGCAGCAAAAGGTAGCTGCTGTTAAGTAACTCTAGGCTAGTTCCTCTGCTGGCTTCTACGCAGGTCTTTTCTCCATTTACTTTTAAGGCTCGGCATATCTGGTCGAACACAATCCACTAGAATATGTCTCCGTTAGACTTTTGGGATCGTGGCTAAAAACAGGACTGGCAGAATGGATTGATCGACATTTCAACTGGCGACCCTTTTACCTCGTCTTGTCATTACGTAATCTATATGTAGACATATCGTAGACGCGTTGTTGTTACATACATAAAATAATTTCGATTTGGAGGATCTTAATGGATGGATACCCGAGCGTTCCTCTACTGATAATTCCCCATGCGCCTGTCCTTTTTTCGAAAAAAAAAAAAAAAAGCGTCGAATCGATTGCTAGAGCATACATAGTAGAACCATTAGAAACTTACCTCTTAGTTAGGAAGTCTTCACGGCTTACTTAATTATAGCATAATCATCACCATATGGCACTATGCAGTCTAACTAAATCTTACGGGTGCAAATATTAATACGGATAACCTCATCTTTTAGCTAGACTCCCCGTTTAGTGCAACTACGCGACGGCTAACACCCGTTGAGCCCTACGCTTTTCGGATCGGTAATAGAAGCATCAAAAGTGCGGAATGTGGAAAAGGAATCAGACGTGCGTAAAAAAGGAAGTTAAAAAGGAAAATAAAAGTCGACACAGGCCCGATTCGAACGGGCGCCTCCGAAGAGATGTGATAGACACTACCGTAGACTTGAAGTCTAGATAGAAATTCGAGTCACACGCGTTAGACCACTCCGCCACTGTGCCTTAGTAACAAGCTCTTACTTGATAGGTTGATTCTCCTGTGGAGTTATCAAAACGATCGCTAATTGACCTCTATAATCTTGTTACTCCATTATCGTGCCAGGATTCTCATTTAACCCAGCACAATTGGTATCCCCCGACTTTACGAGACTCCATATACATCTAGTGCAGGAACGTTAGCTATAATTTTATTCTTCGAGTTATTCGCATACATGTATTGATAGCTCGAGTGCCGAGAGGATCCGGCGCATCTAAGAATAAGTCAAGAGAATTGATTCTGCCAACAAGACCAAATTGACGAGCCAGGTACTGAGTGAGCACAATCGTCTTCAGGCATGCTAGCACCTATTTCCATTTATTTCTTGTACCCTCATCTGTCAGGTACTCATCTGTCAGGTACTCACCCGTCAGCACTCGTCTGTCACTGTTTCCTATTTATTAGTTTTCATGGATAAACAAACCTTCAGGAAGTATTTAACTACGAGTAAATAGGTACGTTTTATTCATCCATTTTCATACTTGGCTGATCAGAAGCTTAATGTCAATCAAATTTAGTAACAAGTTGCTTTTTACATTCCCTTCAAAACCACAGCGCATTTCGAGTAGCTGGTAGTTCAAATAGGCTTCTAATAAGCCCACTGATAGCTACCGAAGCTATCGTAAACTGGTAATTTGCGTAAATAGGTGCGCATGGTATAGACCTGCCAATAGAGGTGAATGGACGCCGCACGCCACAGTAAAAAGATGGAAGCGAGCTCGTATAATAAAAGGCCTCAACTACCAGACACAATGTACATGGCGCGGCAAAACCAACGCTACGAGGAAGCCTCCCTTAACTTCCATCTCAACCTATACTTATTTTAATACCCTGTGCACCTTCTACCTATGTAGTCAGGCACGACCTAGCCCCCTACCTCTCCCTCTACCTCTTCCTCTTCCGCGACCGCGTGTCGCCACGAAACGCTTCTTAGAAGGAATATCAGTGATGTCATTGTAACCATCCGAGTCCGAGTCGTCGGAACTACTCTCGCCTGAGAACGACAGCCTAACAACTGTCGGGCCGCCCGATTTCCTGACGGGTCGCTGTGATCCCGGGGCTTCGCGTTCTGGTGTGGGACTGGGCGAAGGTGAATCCATAGGTTCAGGTTCAGCAGGCTCGAAATCATCGTCAACGAGTTCTTTACGGCCTTGTTTGGGGCTAGGCGGAGCAATCTCTTCAACATCATTCGACTCTGCTCTTGGTTTATCGCCTGTGTCTTGAGCAGTCGTTACTGCAGGAGTTCCTTTGGCTGAAATTGTCGCAGGACTTCCCGTGGTTCCATCTCTTGTTCGACGAGAACCTATCTTAAATTTCCTACCCCTCAGAGCGACTCGTTCCCTCATAGACATGAAACGGATGTCAGGAGTGGGCTTTAGGTCATCGGGGTTGGGTGTCGCAGGCGATTGTTGCGCGCGAGGACGTCCCGGCGGTCGACCCCTTCTTCTCACAGAACCTCCGCGAGGCGTAGCAGTAGTCGGTCGCGATTGTGCCTCACCTTCATTCGTATTGCCTAATTCTTGCGCTAGTTGAGCTTCGAGGTCGTCTACGGTAACATCATTCCCATTCTGAGTGACATTGCCATCTTCAGCATCCACCATAATACTGTCTTCGCCAATTTCAGGCTGATTTTCAGGTTGAAGTGTAGATTTCCTCGGTCGTCCCGGTGGCCGGCCACGCTTTTTACCCGTCGATGGTGCCGCTGACGGGGGGGTGCCCGTTCCAATAGAGCTTCGCGGTGGCCGCCCTCGTCTTTTAGCACCGGGTTGCGGGGTACTTTTAGCAGTGGCTGAGGTCTCTCCTTCGAGCGCGGGAAGCTGGGTTAACGCCCGAATTGCATCTGCTGCCAAGTCCACAGGGTTTGGTCCCTCCTCCGCAACATCATTATCGCTTTCCGACCCAAGAATTCTCAAAGGTTTGATTAGGACAGAATCGTCCGGGTCCTCTGGGGGCTCTTCGGCTTCTACATACGACGCCATCGGTTTGGCATGTCGTAAAGTCGGTCGCAGAGGATCAATAGGAAGAGGCTGCCGTGTCTTCTTAGGAGGAGGAGCTGAGTCGGAAGTCTCTATAGGTTGCGCTTCTGCAATGCCATCGGCTGGTTGTTCGCCAGAGTCACTGGGGGCAGTTACTCTAGTTGGTGTAGAGCTACTATTACCGAGAGCTCCAAGCAAAGCCGGATCTAAGTTGACAAGCTGGTCAATATTTCCAGTCTTAGGCTTTTTGCGCGGCTGACTTCGGGGACCCCTAAAATCGGGGTCATCCTGCGTTTCAAGCCTTGCCCTTCTTTTCGCAAGCCGAAGCGTCTTTTTGACAAACTCGGATATTTCCGGCTCGTTATTTATAGCGTCGGCAGATGGCATTTGGAAGGGGTCGAACAGGATTTTATCTGTACTCTCGTCTTGGTCGTAGAATCCCATTCCCATCATTCGTTGGCGGCCGGCCACTGATGGATCGGGATATTGGGACAAGTCAGGATAGGCAGAATCCTCCTCACCGTTCTGTACACCAGACATGTCGGCGCCCTCAACATGATTCTCTTGTCCATTCATATCATCCGGCCTATGGACAGTAGACATTTCACCGTTTTCATAGCCATTCGAAGGAGCATGGTTATGACCTAAAATGTGGCTTTGGTCTCCATAACCATTCATTATTGAATCCTGAAGAGCAGAGTCCACGTCGTGGGGAGCGTCTTCTGCCGCATTGAATGATGCCATAGGGTCCTTGGCTTTTTCAGCATCTGCCTGCTCTTTCAATCGCTGCATCCGCCTCGTATCTTTGCTCCGATTTTCCTCTCCAGCAGCTTTTAACCAACTGAGATTGTGTACCCGGAAGTCAACAATCGATTCAACACTGCGGTCGTCTGCGATAGGCCGCGTGTCGTGTCCAAGGAGTGTATTCTTGGGAACATATGGATTTGTGTTGCCACTCTGTCGGCAATGTCCGCAGTTGCAAATACCGAGACATTTTGGGCACTGCCAATATTCCTTCTCCATTGCTGTCTGGGGCATCATATCGAATGCTCGCCATAGAACACCATAACAATATGCGTTCTGGCATGTCGTGCAGAAACTGAGCTTATACGTATACTCTTTATGACAGCAAACATGGCATCGGTAGACGTCACCATTCTTTGCTTTGCGTCTCGACTTCGGCTTTTTCTTGACGCGACCCTCGTCATCTACTTCAGGCTCAGATTCCTCAGCTGGGAGTTCGGGTGGCTTCGTGATATCCTTCCAGGGTCGCTTTCGAAGTTGTTCTTGGCAAATCTGAGCGACTGACTTCTTACCTGCTTTCTTCCGTGCAACTTCAATAGGCTGGGGTGATGAATTGATATCGACAAATCCATCTTGTTGGATGACCATTGCTCTCCAAGTCTCGTGTTTCTCAACAAGATCTGACCACTTCCATTGCTCGCACCACTGAAGACCAGAGATACAGACACATGAACGGCCCATAGCGTAACACTCCATGCAAATATCGTATGTATCTTCGTCGCCATTGATGAGCGTGCGCACGCAACACTTGCAAGTTAAAAAGCGATTGAATATGTTGGATCGGCAGTAGGAGCACGTAATGTTTGAGTCAAACGGTACGTACTCGACGTCCGTCTGCTTGTACCCAAACATCTCATCAATAAGGATCTCGGTAAAAAGGCCGAATAAACGTTTAAAGTCGTTGGCCATCTGTCTTTTGCGTGACGAATTTTGCATTAATTCCTGGCCAAGACCCAACAAACCAACTTCGGAGTTTTCCTCGAAAGACTGAAGATCCTTGTAGTACTTTTCCAGAGTGTAATAGATGATGGCTTTATTTTTGTATTGCTCATCTCGGCATACCAGTCGCGCCTTTGGCAAGGCCTCGTGAAGGGCTAAGTCAAGCGTTTCGACTGTCGTCCTATTCCATGCAACTTTCATAGTCCTTGTCCCGCGGTTCCAAACCTGATGTGGTGCTAGCGGAGGTATTAAAATGAAGTCGCCAACCTTTTGCTCAACGATGTAGACAGGGAAGTTGGCTTTCTTCCAAGCATTGATCTGAGCAAAATGCTTCTCGATCTCAATGTCGTGGCCGAGCATAGAGAGAAAGTACTCGCGGACAACTTCACGGTCCTTGGTCTCAGTCATGAACCAGATAGAACTACCTGGCTTCTCTCCATTTTCGTCTTCCGAGGCTTCGACCATGATGTTCTGACCCAGGCTTGCGCACATCTCTCGATGGGCAGGAGTATATGTTCCTTCATGGCCGATATAACACATGAGGTTCTGCGCACGCATCTCTTCCGGAAGGCTACTCATTAAATCGCCCGCAACGGCAGGAGTCTTCTCAGGCGCACCAAAAATATCATCGTTCCGGGCATCTGCGCTTGGATTCTCACTAATGTTCTCATTCATATAGAAGACATTTGGTGGGATGACCTTCTTCAGATGTTCATACCACTCGGGAGGGCAGTCAATATCTTTGAGGTAAAGTCGTTGTCTTCGTTCATCGCGGAAATTTGTAGGGGTCCATTGGTTGGTTAACTGTTGCATGGATCTCAAGTAATGGCCAGTAGTCATTGGAATATCGGTTTGCGCAGTTATATCACGAACATTCTCCTCTACCAAGGTATGTTAGCAGATGTAATACTCTTTTGCGACGGTGACAGAACTCACGTTTCTTGTCATACGTTTTCTCCAACCAGGCAGCACCGAAGAGATCCTTAGGGAGGACTTTGTTCCAGCCTTCTATAACTAACGGTCGACCTCCTTCGATGACATGTAACTGCACGAGCTTTTCAAAACCAGAAGGGCCGAGGCGCCTAATCTGGGCGGTGGAGATACGCACCACCCAGTCGAAGTTCGGGGAGCGATCGACGAGCGCATGGAGATCAAGATCCGGAGGTATTGGATCGAATTTAGCTTGGGGATGTAATGCGGTCGGCATTTTCGCGATCGTAGTATGTTCCTAGGACCGATAGTGCGAA